GCCATCCGGATATGCCAAAGAGAAGTGCCTCCTTTAAGTGAAAAAGTGAGTACTGTACTATAAGATATTTTGAGAGAGACCACATCCATGTCACTTTTATTACAGTGTATTGTTATAATTGTTCTTTTTTATTATTAGTTGCTGTTTATCGTCTATTGTGCCAAATTATAAATTAAACTTTTTCATAGGTAAGTATGTATTGGAAAAAAAAACGTAGCATATTTAGGGATTTGTACTATCTGCAGTTTCAGGCATCCACTGGGGGTCTTGAGTCATATCCTCCACAGATAAGAGGAGACGGTTGTATTCTCAAATACTTTCGTTGGCTATCACCTTCTGGGATTATACTGTTTAACATGTCCTTCTTGTTATCCCTTAAGTTATTCCTTCATGTCCTATCTCTTGTAAAACGTAAAACATTCCTGTTTTCTAGGTCCTCTGTTACCTGCAGAGAATGAGATTAGTCATAAAGTCCTGGGCTTCTTTGGGTTACAGTTGGAGTTTACCTAATCAACCTTTTGAGCATAGGCCTCAGTAAAGGCAGGTAGGTAGTTGAGGGAAGAGCACTAATTAATCATGTAATCTTAAGTGAATTACTTACTCATCTAAAATGCAGGGTACTTATCAATAAAACTGGAAAGCGTATAGCCTCTGAAGGAATTGAGTGAGAATTAGAGCTGATATATGCACCACACCTGTTACACAGTAGGCCAGCGGTTCTCAACCTTTCACAGGGGTCTCCTAAGACCATCGGAAAACACATATTTTCGATGGTCTTAGGAACTGAGACACCGCTCCTCTATCCGTCTCCAGGCCCACATGCAGATACGCCCACATACGAGTACCCGGCGACCCCTGTGAAAGGGTCCTTCGACCCCCAAAGGGGTCACGACCCACAGGTTGAGAACCGCTGCAGTAGGCCCTTAGTAAATGATAGCCAGAACTGTTATGGGCCCAAACCAGGTGTGGCTTTCCATAATAGGACTCAATCAGTTCCATCTGCAGAGTGATGCCTTTCTTGAAAAAAATACAGAAAATGCAATACCTGAGTCATTTTTTTCTCACCCATTCTGCTGATGTTTTTTTTCTATGACTGTTTTTCTCAGCTCCTAGAGAAAAGCCGATTGTTACTGTAGGAGGTGGCAATTTGTTCCTGCCTGAACAAACAGCATCACACTTTTTTTCCCCTTCAAATTATCAAGTACATCAAACCTTAATAACTTTACCTCTGGGGGAGAAGATTCTAGTTGTGATGGAGGCGTTCCCTGCTATTAATCTCTATTGTTACTTCAAGTCCCAGCATTGTACTTCTTACTTGAAATGAGGAGGAGGTTGACATTTGTATTTTGAATTGAATTGCAAAGGTCCACTGAAGAGTTAAGCTCCCTGATCTAGAAAAGAGGAGCAGTAAAGACTTTGATGATAATTGAACGCAGTGACTAAGAACAAACAGCCACAGGTCTCTTGGAGTCATGGCGGTATTTCAATTCCACTTATCCAGGGGCCATTAATTTGACAGTCTCCATTAGTGCTTTTTTTGGTAGCTAAAAAGGGTATGTAACCTGCACTATGAAAAGAATAATTCTTTTCTCTCCTGTTCTTTTACATTTATTTATTTAAAAAAAAATTATTTATTTATTTTTTAGCTGAGCCATCCTGCCACCTGTTGGCAGCTCAGCGGCAGCTCAGCTCGGGGCTTTATTTATTTTTTTTATACCTTACTCTTTTCTCTTTATTAAATTTGTAATCTTTGTTATATGCAAGTTTTACAGATGGGCAGATGGAAGTTTATGATTTGCCATGCTGGTCTGCCTGTGAGCCACCTCTTTGGGGTAGGCCCCTCTCTTTCCAGTGTTGACCTCCCTTTCCAAGTGGACCCCAGCATCTGTTCGCAGAGTGTGCCTTATCCCTATTACAAGCCCCGTGTTCATACTATAGGACACCTCTGAGACAGGAAACAAGGACTTACAGTGACAGGCATGTCGTGTCCTCACAGACACACAATGACGCTGATGGCGTGCTTCTTTCTTCAGACTGTTAATTACTCCAACCTGCATTGCCATAGCACATTGGGATGGGGAATTGTGCAGGGCTGGGGGTGG